TTACCCTTGAAATCAGAGACGTAGATCGGTGCAGTGTAGATCATCTGTGCCAGCGAATAAGTCAACGCCATCCAACGGCGGAAAATTAAGATCAAACTGAAACGGCGGTTTCCGGCGAGAAGAAGACGAAGCGATATCGTCTCCGTCGTCAATAACCGAAGACGACGAATCGCAATCGCTGTGACAATCCTCCGGAGCAACCGGTGGAGTCCGTGGATATCTCTTCGTCGCAGGAAACGGTTTCGCCACGGAGGAAGACGCCGCCGCCGCCGCAGCTTCCATCGTCGTCGGTCTAGGTCCGCTACACGATTTGACGGTGCTGCTCATGCTGCTACTCGCCGGCCGACTGATAACCTGTTGGTTTTGCTGCTCCTGGAAATTACCTCCGCCGTATAACCGATGATCCATAAACGGATCGATCTGGTTCTGATTCAGAGCACCGGAACAGAGATTCCGATTCTGATTTTGATGATTGTGGTAGTTGAGTGGTTGGAGAGGAGAAGAAGGAGAAGAATCGATGGGGAAATTGGTTTTGGCTTTTGGGCCACGGAGGTTACGAGCGGCTGCGTCGTAGGCTCGAGCGGCTTCTTCGGCGGAATCGAAAGTACCGAGCCAGACACGGGATTTCTTTAACGGATCACGGATCTCAGCAGCGAATCGACCCCAAGGTCTCTTCCTAACGCCTCTATACCTCGGCTCTTTCATAGATCCGGGAAGGGCGGGTCCAGCCACGGAAGAGCCTCTCCCTTTCCTCATCGAGAAGAAGAAAGAAGATTATCAGAACCCACAAGTAATGTGATGAAGAAGAGATCTGTGTCTGTGTGAAGAAGAAAATGTTGAAAATGAAGAAAGAAAGATGAAGGAAGATGAAGGAACAAGGGTAGGCATTGGAAAAAAAAAAAAAACTATTTATCATTTTCTTTTTAAATTTTACTCAAAAGATTTTTTTTTATTGTATTAATAAATAATTTATGGTTGGAATAGCTTTTTTCCTTTTTTATTTTGAATTTTTTTTGGTTCAAATTTTCTTCTCTACCTTCACGCCCGCCCCACAAGACCGACCAATTCGATTTTTATTTATTATGGAGGGAGTATCATTTTCTAAACTCTCGATTCTTTTTTTTCTTTTACTTTAAACTTTTATTCGATAAATAAATAATTTAATTTTCGATTTTTTTTTTTAAATCTTTTACGAGTTTCACAAGAGAAGTCTCGAAATGCGAAGAAAGCAAAAGAGGAGGGTAAGCACTTGCACTCTCTGTCCTGACCCCTGACCACAATCTAATAATAAAATCTTTCTTTAATCTAATAATTTATTAAATGAAAAAATCGACTGAAAAAGACCAAATAGTCCATATGTAATGACCAAAACACCCTCGTATTATTTTATTTCTGAATTTTAATAAGAAATAATACACCTCGAAATTATTAAGTGAGGTCTTCTCCTTCCTTGGGACCCTACACAAGACGAGACGCGCTTACCGGCATCGTCGTCTCCGTGTGAAAAGTAAATGCTGTTTTCAGGGAAAATTATGCCATTAATGGAGACAACACATACTTTGTTCCTATAAACTGAATTTG